TGATTCATTTCTGTCTCCGCGGAAGTTCGCAAGGGCCGGGCCGGGCCGGCAGCCGGTCCCCAGGGGATGGATGCGAGCGCGTGGTTGCGTGGGTCCGCCCGGCCCACAGTCACCTCCTCCCCGGGGACCTGGCAGCATCTCGAAGGGTGCTCCCACCCGGGCGGCGCATCGGGCGTGCATTTCAGATGGCCTTCTGCCGTGCAATCGGGGCCTGACCATCCCCAGCACCCTCCATCCCCTCCCTCCTCCCCGCTCCCCGCCTCTCCCCTCCGCTGGCAGCATCTCGAAGGGTGCTCCCACCCGGGCGGCGCATCGGGCGTGCATTTCAGATGGCCTTCTGCCGTGCAATCGGGGCCTGACCATCCCCAGCACCCTCCATCCCCTCCCTCCTCCCCGCTCCCCGCCTCTCCCCTCCGCCCCTCTTCCCTCCTCTGCGTCTTCTTCCGACGCAGATCTCTCTTTCTCTTTCATTCTCCCAGACACACCAACACACAATGTCGGATGTACGGACCACACATGCACCCCCCTCCCCCCTTCGCCTCGGTTCTTCTTCCTTTCGGAGCCGACGGCTTCCACCACTGCGACTTGCCTTCCTCTCCCTCTTCCCTCCTTTTGAGCATTCATATTCCCACTCACAAACGCTTGTCCACATCGCTTGACCGCTCCAGATGGATAAGGCTGCCCAGGAGGTGAAGCTCACTTCGGCCAAGGTGGCCAACCAGCTGGTTCAGGTTTACTATGATGCCCTTCAGAACAACCGCCCGGTGCGTTTCTTGGTGTCTTTCCCTTTCGCGTGCTGAAATGCCTCGCATTTTCCCGCCACTCCCTGGGTGCGGGGAAACATGCGGCGCGTGTACACACACACACACACACACACACACACACACACACACACACACACACACACACAAACATGCGCGCGCGCGCATGGGCGCATGCATAAGGGTGTCCACCCCAGCCAACAATCCAATATGTGGGCAAACACTGACTCCTCCATTCATCATAGAACATGATGAACTTCTACGCGCCCACCGCCACCGTCACCTGGAGCGGCTTCAACTACGACTCCGTGCAGTCCTTCTTCGCGGAGTTCATGTCCAATCTTCCCTCCATCTCGGTGAACCTTAGCTCGGTTGACGCCCAGGCTGTCCTTAGTGCGCCTTTTTTTCCCCTCCCCCCCTCCTCCCCCTTATCCTCATCTGCCTTTCTTATACCGAGCCTCCCTCCCCCCCCCCCTCCCTTGTTCCCCGTACCACAGGTCACGTCATCGGCCCGAGCACGCCGTCGCTCATCACCATTCTCATCCTTGGCACCATTTCTTTCGGCTCGGAGCCCGCTGAGAACTTCTCCCAGACCCTGGTCATTCAGGCCGACCCGGGTACCACGATGTTCCGGATTGTGCGCGACGTTTTCCGCCTGGTCTGAAGGCACAGCCATTTGCTTGCCTGCATATACGTCCTCTTTCCCACCGGCTTCCTTGCCTCCCACCACCACCCCCCCTTTTCTCCGTGCAAGCGCGCCCTCCTCCTCTCTACCCCTGAAACACGCAGGGGCGGCCCGCATATGTGCATGTCCTTGTCCCGGCCGGGCTTTTCCATTCCTGTCCCCCATCCCCCCCCCCCCCCTGCCTTTCTCTCTCTCCCTCTCTCCCCTCCCCCCCCCTCACTGGGGGCGAAAATATACCCATTCTGCCTTTCCTCTTTCCTCGCCCTTCACACACGGGGGCCAAGGGCCAGACTCGCCTCGCTGTGTATCCACCGGGCTCCGATCGCATCGACACCCCTCCAAAAGGCAAGCGATGAGCACCAACCAAAGGCATTATATTGGCCAGGGCCCTCACCAACAGGAAGGACCTAGACCGCGAAGGCCAGCCAATCCGGCATGAAGGCATTCTTCTCGTTGAGAGCCACCCAGCGCATGAGAATCTCAATGGTGGACAGGGCATCATCCTTGCGCGTGTGCGGCGCAAAAGCCAGGTACATCTCGAAATTATCCTGAACCGAGCCACCGCCACCGCGTGGATCAGCCGCAAGCGGCAGGGCACTTGCACTGGACGCATAGCGCCAGCCAACAACAATCTCATGCGACCCAATGGTCCAGAACATGCGCAACGGCCGGGTCCGGGTGTGAATCATCTGGTGCGCGTGGCGGTACATCCGAAGCAGGCGTCGCTGGTGCCGAGGGATCGAGTAGGGAGTGATCCAGGGAGATGCATGGTGCTGGCGAGTGGCCGAGCTGATGTAGACATAGTGCCGGAGGAACCCCAACAATGAGCCCTTGATGTCGTGCGGGGACATTTGCGAAGGGGTGAAGGAGGGGAAGCCGGCGTATTCCCAGATCAGGGGCCACTGCATGGATGAGCCACCGAGGCCGCCTGCATCGTGCATTGGTCGGAGGATTTCCAGGATGCTGCTCTGGATGTTGTTGCTTGTTCGCTGGGCGCTATCCACGCCGCTCGGATCGGTGGACAGGATCACAACACAGATGTCGGGCTATGGGCACACGAGTGACCACAAGAGGGCAGAGGGGCAGGCGAGGGGGGGGGGGGGGGGGGGGGGCGGGAGTGGGAGAGCAAGAAGAACAGAAACACGGGGAAATCGTTAGACCGGGAGATGAGCCAGCACCAGCAGTAACACCAGCACCAGCAGCAGCAGCAGCAGCAGCAAAGGAACAAGAGCGAGGGGGAAAACGCCAGCGCACCGCTGTCTCGATGGTCGACACATAGGCAAAGAGGAAGGCCGTCGGGTTGAAGCGCGGCAGGCAGATGGGCAGCCAGACGCCGATGAAGTGCTGGAGATTCTTCGATGCCACGGTGTTCATGATGAGGTGCACGTCGGACGTGTAGAGCGGGTACCGCGGCGAGAAGGAGGCCGTGATGATGGAGGAGTATTTGTGGATGACCAGCGTGGCCAGGAGCCGGTCGCGCTGGACCTCCTCCGACGCGCGCTGGATGCTGGCCACCAGGGCCTCGCGCAGGGTCGCCTGCATCGGGAACACCGGGACCGTATTCAGCCAGAACATCGGCTCGCGCTCCATCCGCCGGGCCAGGGAGTCCAGGCGCGCGGTGTCCGCCTGGTTGAGCAAATTGCGCAGATCATAGTTCTGGGAATTGGAGAAGATCGAATGGATCTGGCTCACGGACAGGACCGACACCAAGTGCGAGTAGAGATACTGCAGCTGCTGGCGCAGGTGGAGCTCCGGCTCGCCAAGTCGCGACACCGCAACCAGATAGATGTGCTGCTTCAGGAGGAAGACAATTTGATTCCGGCCGAACTTCACCGCGCGCACCATGTCCAGCCCGGCGTCGGTCTGGAAGTCCACACTGTGAAGGGACCCGGAGCCGGGATCCCCGCCGGGCCCAGTGGGGGTGGAGGGGGCGGTGCTGGCCGCCCCGGCGCCCGATCGAGGACCCGGCGGGGCCGCCGACCGGCTGTCCAAGAAGAGGGAGATAAATGCCTGGAGGAACCCCATCATGGTGGACATCTCGCCCTCATTCCCATGGAAGGAGTAGATCGGCTTGCCGGAGGACGAGAGGATGAAGAAGTGCTTCTTGCGCCGCGACCACGACGGCCAGGAGGTGTCCTCATCGCCATGCTTGCGTTGGGTTTCGAAATTCTGGATCGGAGGCACGGCTGCCGGTGTGGCAGCCGCGACCGGCGCCGGGACAGGCCCGGGCTCCGAAGACACCTCCGATTCGGGGGTCGGGGTCGAATCGGCGACATGGTCTGCCGAGGCATCGGCCCCAAAATCGGAAGATGCCCCGCCAGGGCCGGGCTCCCCGACGGAGTGGCGGTCACTGTCCGGTGTCCCAGCGGGATGCGGGAGGTAGGTGGCCCGCGAGTCGGCTGCCGGCGAAAGAGCCACGCCGGCTTCGGAGTCCGAGTCCGAGTCCGAGTCCGAGGAGGCCCCGCTCGCCAAATCGGAAAGACCTTCCTCCACGGAGGGCGAGCCACTTCCGGCGAGTGGTCCCGGGCTGGTGAGGGGCGCCTCGATGGCCACATCGGCAGCCAGCAGCGGGCTGACGCCGGTTCCCTCGCCGCCACGGGCGATCTCCCCCAGGCAGTGGGCCATGTCCTCGGCAAAGGCGGCCACCGGGTCAGAGCTGCCGGTCCGGGCATCCGGCGAGTGGGGCATGCTACCGGCTGCCAAGATCGGGGAGCTCAGCGCGGCGAGCGACTCGGACCGGCTCACCTGTCCAGAGCCCAGGTCCGAAAGCATCGCATCGGAGAGAGCCTCCGAGTCCAGGAGCTCGTCGAGCATCGTGAACACAGGGGGAGTGGGCGGAGGGGGAGTGGGCGGAGGGGGGGAGGGGGGATGCAGTTGGGCAAAGAAGGGACTGGGCAGGGAGATAGGGAGAAAGTAGGGGGAGGAAGAGAAAGGCAGAGGGAGGAGGGGGGCCGGGCGGAGGGCGAGGCGGTCTGAAGCAGGCCGCGCAAGTTGCCTGCTCAAGACAACGGACTGGCAAAAAGGTTCTCCCGGTGCACACACACACATAGACACACGCGCATCCGTGTATGTGCGCACACTCACGCGCCCATAAACACACGGTCCCCGTTCCCGGCTGGAAACACTAGATCGAGCCAGGCGGCCTCCCCCCCCCCCCCCCCAGCGACCGCCCCCCTCACGCTCCGGCGAGATGAGCTCCCCGGCTCTCCTGCTGGAGGCCCAACTGGGGAGGGGCAAACAAGGGCGCGGTGTGATCTTCTCTATTTGGTCACGTGCGTCGAGTCAGAGGGCAGGGCGATACTTGATCGGCCCACAGAACAGAGCCGGGGGGGGGGGGGGCGCGTGCGCGCGCTGGACAGCGAGGGCACATGCGAAGGCAAGGCACAAAAGCAACATGCGCCCACGCACACATGCGAGCCGCGGACATCGCAATGTGGCCAAATCCGCCCATTCCAATCGGCAGTGAGCCCTTCTCTCCCTCAGACGGCCTTGAGTTTGGAGGCGGTCTGCTCGAGCTCGGCCACGGCGCCGAGGCCACTCTGTAGGTCGACTCGCATCCAGCAAACCAGCCCGGTTACAAAGGAGGGAATGCCCCCAACAGCTAGGACGGTGACCGGCAACCGCGGAGCCAGTCGGGCCAAACTCAGCAGCACAAGGAGCAAGTTCGGCAAGGCCAACAGGAAGGGGGTGATCGGGAGGAGTCGCGCAAGCTTGCTGGCGGTCCGGCCGTCAGCGCCAGCTTGGGCGAAGAATCCGGTGAAAATGGCCTCATCCTCGGCACTCGGGGTGGTGCCCGGCCGGCCGAGACGCCGGAGCCGGGCCTGCGGCACGAAGACCAGGGCCAGGGCCAGAAAGGCCAATGCCCCGAGGAAGCACAAGGCCTGGACATACCCCGGGGGGACGGGGTCTTTCTCCCCGAGGTTGACTGCGATCACCGACAAGTCCGCCCCATAGGACAGGTCCATCATGCCGAGGGCCACATAGACGACGGTCAGGACCAGCGACAGGGCCACAATCGCGCGCTTTGCACCACGGAACCCAATGGCCGATGGGAGGGGAGGGAGACGAGGGAGCAGACAGGATGGAGGCCGGTGAGTGGTCGGCCGACGTCGCGGCAGGGCTTCCAACGAGGCGGGCGCACCGAAAAGTACAGAACATTGGTCGCATGAGCCTTCTTCAAGGAATCGATGATGCGCTCCTGCAGGTCCTCGGTCAGGACAAGATCGTCATTGTCCTCGTCCAGAAGATCCAGCGGATTGGCGGTTTTGACGGTGGCGCCCTGTCGCCGGTTGAGGGTGCCGCGTAGGCCGTTCATTGGCGATGGAAGCGGGAGGATGGAGGGGAGAGGGGGGGGAGGGCGCGCGCGGATGGAAAGGCGGTGACTGGGAGTGAGACATGCGGGGGGGGGGGGGGGGACGGAGTCTTTCATGGCGCCGCATTGGGTCCCCCCGGGCGAGCAAGATCTCGCCCACAAAAAGGGTCTCCCCATCTCGGCCCGCGCCCCCTCCAGGACGGAGAACTACCGCCTTGAGTTGGCAGCTGTCTCGATCGCGGCCGATCCGCTGGCAGTCGAGATGCACGGCGTGAACGGGTTGCGGCTCGGGGGCGGGGCGGTTAGATTCCGAACTTGCGACACCTGGGGGCGGGGGGGCGGGGGGAGGTCTCTCACTTTCCTGCGGCGAGGGGGGGGGGGGGGGCTGAATGGCCCGGGGGAGGGTTTAGCCGCCCCCCCCCCCCCCCCGGGCCCGTTTACTCCGTCCAACGTTGGCTCGGGGCGGGCATCGGTGGCGCGACAGGGCTTTTTTACCAGCCGTCTTGGTGGGTCCACTGGTTGACCGACCGGACTGGCAGAATCCCCTCGCCTGCTCCATCCTCCTCCCTGTTTCTCCCCCAGCATTGCGCACAAGCACAAGCACACCCACATTCACACATACACCGACATCGATACACGCCGGCGGCCTCTGCCCGAGCCCTGCCCTGAGGACCACCCACGCCTCCCGCTTTTCCTTTGGGCCAAGAAAGGATCCGCCCCCCCCCCCCCCCCCCTCCCTCCCAGACAGACAACGCATTCTCCGATGGCCGAGAGGGATCGGTCACCGGAGGCGGCCCCCGGCTCCTCCCCCCGCCGGGCTGCCAGCAAGGCTAGCAGTCCCACACGGCGCCCCCATAGCCGGAGCCCGCTGCCGACCGCAACGCGAGACCCGGTGACCGGGCTCTTTGTCGTGTGTGATAGCCGGCTGCCGAAGGACCGCCGGGCAAGACGCCAGGTGATCCGCGCGGCCACGCTGGCGGCCCTGCGCGATGCCCCGCCCTTTCCGACGGTTGATGGCGAAGCGGCCACTCACCTGCCTGCCTCCGAGGACTCTGGCCAGTCTCGTGCGGTGCACTTTTCTCCGCATGTGCTGGTGCGAGAGATTGAACACCGCGGTGCCCGAGCCCGGTCGGCTTTTCTGGGCCCTGTGCAGCTTGACCACCTGAAGTACACCGATATGTCGGGTGGAGGCTCGGATGCCGAGCCGGATGCCGAGCCGGAGGCCGAGCCGGAGGCCGAGCCGGAGGCCGAGCTGGGTGTCGCGCCGGATGCCGGGTCGGAGGTCAAGTCGAGCTCCGACCCGACATTTTCCAATGCCCCGCTGCGGTCGGCTTCGCTGCCGCCGCCGCCCCCGGTCGCGCTGGATCTCCCGCCGCCAGATGTCCAGGATCAGATGCCCTTCGTGCCGGCCCCGGCCAATAGGACTCCAGCTGCATCGATCCTGCGCCGAGGAGCACCTGGGCCAACTGATCCGTCAGCGAGTGGAAGGACCCTGGGCTCGGGCTCGAGCTCGAGCTCGAGCTCCGATTCGGAGTCCGACTCGGATGCCGAGAGCGACCTCGGCATGGGGCTGAGCTTTGGCGGAGCCCAACGCGCGAGTCGCCTGTCTCTCCGGCCACCCACACTGGCGGCCAGCCGGCGGGCTGCCGGAGCTCAGCGCATGAGTGCACGCGCGATCAACCTCCAAAACGAGCTGGGCCTCGGCCCGGGCGCGGCGCGTCCCTCACTCGAAAGCATGCTTGGCGAGGAGGCGCGCTTTGAGTCCGACAGCGACCTGGAGTTTGACGTGGAGGCAGTGGCCGCCGCGGCCGACGCGGCCCGGCAAGCCGACGACCCGTATGCCGAAGTCCTTGCGCTGATGCAGCTGGGCCAGGAGGCGGATGCCGAGTCCGGCGACTCGCCCACGCCGTCGCGGCTGGATCTCGACCCGCGGGATGCTGGCAGCCCGGAACTGTCGGCCACCGCGTCACTCATTGTCGAGGCTGGCCGGCGGAGACCAGGTCACCCAGGCGGCCGGAACCAGCATCCCCTCGAGCCGGAGGACTTCCTCCAATTGGACTCGGCCTCGGACTCGGGCGAGGAGGGCCTCAGTCCAAGCATCAGTCCCCCACCGACCCCGGCCTCGGCGCACTACAGCCCGGCCTCCGGGGCCCCGGGGCCGGAGTCCGTCCCAGGCCTCTGGCAAGCCCGGTCCCCCTGGCGATCGCCCCGCACCATGGTGGAAGATCCTCGACGCGTGGCCGGCCAGGATCGCGCCCAGCGGCGCCGCACCAGCCATGCTCTGCTGGAAGCACGTGCCGAGCAGAGCTATCGCCACGCGGTGGCCGCCGACTCGCCGATCGCCCCCGGCACCGAGGGCAGCCCCTCCAAGGGGTTCGCCCTACACGGGACACCGGCCAGCTTTGAAACCCGCCGTCGTGAGGTGTTCTCCTTCCCGGACTGCAGGCTTGGTCAATCGGCCGCGGCTCTCGAGAAGTCCCCCAATAAGTGGGGATCCCATGCACCGGGCACTGGCCGTGATCCGGCCCAATGGACACTCTACAACCTGGCAGACGACCAGACGGACGACGATCCGGCCGGCCAGCATCGGCACTCGGCCTCCGATGCCAATAGTTTGACGGCCTATCTGCTGATTGATCGGATAAGGAAGCAGAAACGGGCTGCTCTCGCTGCCGCGGCGGCGGCTACGGCGGCGGCGGCGACAACGGCAGGATCTGCAGCCTCCGACCCGCCTGGCGATGCAACGCCCATTCCCCCGGCCGAGGTGTCCTCGGAGCTGCCCATCGAAGAGAGCCCCCTCGAGCCGGGTCCCGGTATCACGGTTGGCATTTTGACACGTCGTCGAACGCGGCCGCGGCTTCCCCCGGTGGAGGGTGCTGACAAGAGGACGATTCTCTTCACCGAAGTGGATGCTGGCGAGGGGGCGCCTGGCCAGGGGGCGCCCGTGGGCGGCCGGACGCGCCCAGCCAAGCGTGCTCGAACCGCCGGCCGCCGCCAGCCTCTGGATGAGGCCAGTCCGGCCGATGACGGCCCTGAAGCCACGGCCGACGGGCCGATTGCCGGGGCCGCTGTCGTGGGGGCTCCTCAAGGGACGCCTGGGCGTCCCATTCGTCGTGCCTCGCGCCAAACAAAACACTAGATAGACCCCACCTGAGGATGAGCGCCCGCCGGTCGGCTCGCTCCGTGCTCCTTGGAATACATCGGACCCAGGCTCAAGACAAAGCACAGGAGGGGGCGGGGGGGGGGGAGGCAGGGGGGATGACGGAAATGGCTGTTGACCACTCGCCGGGAGCAGGATTGCACATGTGTGTATTTGTAAGGGGGGGGGGGGGCAGGACGAGTGCGGGCGCGTGCACACGCTGGCCACCGGGAAAGGACCCCGGTCGGGAGGGAGAGAAAAGCATGGGCGAGGGGCAGCAGTCGCGCGCGCGGCCAGCCGCCGCCCTCCTCAGGTGTCTTGGGAGGAAGGAGGAAGGGGGAAATGGCCGGGAACATGAAACTGCCGCCATATCACAGGCCTCCGAAGAAGCCCTTCCCCTGGCGACTCTTCATGCGCTTGCTGACCGTCGCCAGCGAGGGCGCGGAGAGGGGCTGGCCGACGACGCCATTGGCAAACTCGGCGTCATCGCTGTCGCTGTCGCTGTCATCGCCGTCGTCATCGCAGCTCATCTCGTCGGACACCGACATGCACTCGTCCTCCAGCTGGAAGTTCGGGTTGAGGTTGGAGTCATCAAACTCCCCGGCGGCGGATCCGCCATCAGTTCGCAGGAAGTCCACCCCCCAGAAGCGGATGGTCTGGTCGTGACTGGCCGAAGCCAGGAGGGACCCATGGCGATCGACGCGCAGGCGCTCAATCGGGAAGTCCTCGTGTGAGCCGACCACACCGAGCAGCTTGTTCGGGTGGACGGACACCACACGGATCAGGCCATCCGACGACCCGGTCAGCAGGAGATTCGACGTCACAGGGACCATGGTGTCCACGGACTCCGGGTGCCCGGGGAACCGGTCAATGTGGTCGCCCCACAGTCCCCAGTCCCAAATGTTGATGACACCGGACTGCGTGCCGACCGCCAGGCGCCGGCCATCGCGCACCATCTGAATGGAAAGGAGCTCGTCATCCATCTGGCTGGAAGTGGCGATCAGCTTACGCTGCGAGGTGTCAATCGCGGACAGGGTGCCATCGCCACTGCAGGGGACGGGGAGGGCGGGAAGGAGGAGGATGGTGAGTGGTCGTCAGGAGGCCCAGGAGGGTGGCAGGGGGGGCGAATGCGCATACCTGGTGGTCACAAGGGTCGAATGGGTCTCATTGAAGACCGCGTCAGAGATGAAGTCCGACGCGACCTCAAGCGAGGAGACGACGGTTCGCGAACGGAGATCCCAAAACTGCAGGGGGGGGGGAGGAGGGGGGGGGATGGAGCAAGAGGATCAGCAAAGACCAACAGGGGGCAAGGGACACAGGCAACCGGGATGCGCACATTGACGGTGCCGCCGTCGCAGCCACTGACAATCATGTGGTCATTAATACGATGGAGGAGGTTGATTGGCTCACTAGGAGGGGAAAGAGGGTCGGGCATGGTCGATCAGTGTCAGCGAGGGGGCGCGGGGGAAGGGGGAGAAGGAGAAAGGCAAGAAGAGAGAGAGCGGAGGGGAATGGACAAGTGAAAGCAGGTAGACAAATAGATAGATAGATAGAGAGAGAGAGAGAGAGAGAGAGAGAGAGAGAGAGAGAGAGAGAGAGAGGCGGGGCGGAGCAGCGATGCGGCATAGAACATACCGGTGAGCTTGGGCCTGACGGAGCATCACCTGGCCGGACTCGACATCAACCGCCTGGAGGGTGCGGTCCGTGGACCCGGTGAAGAGAACTACGGAAGGGGGGCGAGAGGAGGGCAAAGGGGCGAGGAGGAGCAGGTGAGCGGGAGACATGGTTCGAAGGCGGGTAGAGGCGGGGGTGGAAAAGGAGGCGCACAGCGGCCATCATCCGAGAAGAGAAGGGCTCGGCAGGAGGCGCGCCGGTGATGGTTGAGCGCGTGAAGCTGCTGATTCTCCGAGCCGTCGGAAGCGTACTTGTGGCTGAAAGGCCACACATGGACACACATGGACACACATGGACACACATGGACACACACACACACACACACAGACACACAGACACACATGCATGCGGGGACGAGGCCGAACAGAAGGGGCGAAGTCAGTGAGTCAGCAGGTCCCCCATCGTAGGCACTCAAGCAGCGAGAGAGGCGCACATCTCCACACGACCGTTAACCAGCCCGGCAGCAATGATGTCATGTGTCGGGTGGAAGAGGATCTCCATGATGTGGCGGTTGAAGGAGAGCGACTCCGGGACGGGCTGATCCTGCTCCATGGTGGCGTGGCTGATGGCGCGCTCGGGCTATGGGACTCTCTGCCAGGCGGGAAGGGGAGGCTAGGCGGGAAGAGGGGCAGGGAGTGGAAGGGGCAGGACGGGTGGGGGGGGGGGGGGGGGGGGAGGGAGGAGGATGCCGGATACCGAACTGGGGCACGCGGCTCCAGGAGCGGCCACGGACGATCCCGATATGGCCTCATTGGAGACCGGGGGGAGCCAGATCCTCTTGCCGGGCAGGAGAGGGGCGGACTGAGGGTGGGTGGCGAGGGCCCAGGGAGGGGTCGGCCGGAGCGGGCTGGCAAGCCGTGCATGCACCTGCGTCGATCGAAGACCCGCGCGAGCGTGCGGGCTGCAGGCCGCGCGGGCGGGGGCATGCGCCATCCCCCCCCCCCCCTTGCGCCGGGGGCCGAGAGCCACAAGCGCGGGCAGCAAAAAAAAAAAAAGGGGGATCCCCATGCGCGCCGAAGCGCGGCGTGATCGCGTTGCTTCGGTGGCGTCAGCTGATGGGCCGGTGATTTGGTAAGGCCATTCTGTATCTTCGAACCTGCTCGTTCAGATGCGGCGTTTTACCCCGGCGCAGGGTGCCCGGAGATCGGGCGTCTCGCGCCGGAAGGGGGGGGGGGGGTGACGGAGCACGGCCGCGGGCGCGGAGTGTGACACACGAACAGGAGCCCGATCATCGGAAGACAAGGCAGTTGCTCGAGCCAGGTGCCCCCCCCCGTGGCAGGTCCCATACCAAGACGCCGGGAGAGCCCGTGGAAAACCCCATGGGTGTGTATTCTGGCGAGGGGGGGACATTTTCAGGGCTGCCCCAAGCGTCCGGGCCTCGCCCGCGGCCCCTCGGGGAGCGGGGAAACCACTTGGCCCCTGAGAGACCTCGCCCCAGGCCGGGGGCGCATTCCCGCACGGCGCCGGTAGTTAATGGGCGTAGCGCATCTGAGGCGCAGAATCTGCAAGCAATCACGGACATCAGATCGACCGGGTCTATGATTCATCCCTCGGTGCGGCCGGCGCCCAGGGCTCGGGCATTCCCCCCCGCCCCGGCCTTTGTGTGTCAATGTTCTTCCAGTGCTGCCTCCAGCTGGCGGAAGACACAAGGACGGGGGGGGGGGGGAGGAACGACCATCCAGACGCAGAGGGTCAGACAGGGAGATAATCCTCCCCCGGCCTGGTGGGGGGTCATCGGGGCCCCGCCAGGTGTGAGAGGGGGGCATTCTGAAGTGCGTCTGCCCCGGCCGCACGCGCCGCCCGGGCGGGCCAGCTGTTTCCGCCCCAAGGCGCAAATTTTTATTCCCCCTCGATGCTGTGCGGCGGTGGCGAGACCCTTTTTGGTGCCTTCGGGAGAGCTATGACCCCCCCCCCCCCCCCGCCGGGCGGCCCCACCGATGCAGGGGTTTCTCTCGGGCTGCTCATTCAAGCGGTCCGCCGGGCCACCCCCACGCCGGTTCTTTCACATGCCGCACATGCTGACCCCAGATGTTCGCATGCCTCTGTGCCCATGCTGGTTGGACCGGGGAACCTGGGTGGGGCGGGGGGGGGGGGGGATCATTCGGGTATCATCTGCAAGGGCGGATAGAAGCCGCGGATCGCCGCGGGGGCCCGAATGCGCGCCGCTCGGGACGGCGTGTGCGCTGTGCCAGATACGCAGGCCCATGCAAGGCATCCTTTCCGAGTACCACTCTGTCCCCCCCCCCCGAGCCCTTGCCGGCGGCTTCCGATCCAAGTGGGGGCTAGCCCCGGGTCCGGGGGCCGTCTCACCCGGCCGGCATCCCCCTCGCATCCCCTCATCTTCTATCCTTGCCTCTGGGACTGCCCACCCGGTTCCCCCCTCTCCCTCTCTCTCTCTCTCTCTCTCTCTCTCTCTCTCCCCCCTGTTCCCTGCTCCTTGCCTATCTCCCCTTGCCTGGCCGTCTACCCGCTCGTCTGTCAACCAGCCAAAAGCATGCCCACCCCCCATCCGATCACCCTCCGGATGGCGGAGGAGTGGCCGGACGCCCCGCCGGTTCCCACCGACGGGGCCGACCACAACACCAAGCCCTATCCTCTGAACAGCACCGGGCACTTCTTCACCGATCGGGTGACCGCCGAGCCGACCGAGCTGGCCATCAGCCTGGACACCTTCCGGCAGCTGTTCCTCAATGATGAAAGTGGCTTCGGCCTCCGCGCGCACAAGTTCATCCACACAAATGACAGTACGCTCTGCCACCCCCATGCTGGTGTCCTCCCTGCGCCGTCGTCGCATGTGTCCCTGAGCTCCCCCCCCCCCCCCCCGCCCCCCCCCCCCCCTTCGGCTTCTTTCCTGTTGCGATTGCTGACCCACTGTGGCCCTGCCCCCTTCGGCTTGCCGGTGCAGTGTTCACCGAGCCGGCCTGGACCCCGTGCGGCCCGTCCGGCCGGGTCCTCTGCAAGACCATCGACTACTCGGTCAACATCCCGAAGACCCCGATGATCCCGGATGTCCTGCACATCACCCAGCACACGGTTCTCTACGACCTCGGCCCGCAAGAGGGGTGCGTCCCTTTCCCTCCCCCTCTCCCTCCGCCTCACTTGCTGGTCGATGTTGACCCTCCCC